TTGCGTCTGGGGAGGAGGAGAAGCCCCGTCCCTGCTCCTGAGCGCTGGTCAAGCACGTTGTGGTGCCGTAGTGCAGGAGAGACGCCCACAGGTGCTTTGTGGTTGCGTTTAGGTGCCTTCCATGGGCGCTCAGCCAAAACTGACGGGGGTGGAATTTCTGCTTCTTCCCACTGGGACACCCAAAGACCTGGCTATGAGGGAGTCACCTTCCTATACCTGGCCGTGCCCCCTTCTCTCCTCCCCCCACCCCCCCGCCATTGTGCTGTCCCGGGATCTGCCTCTCTCTGCTTTGGGTAGCAGGTGGCTGCTTTGCAGTGCAGGCTCTGCTGCCTCTCCCTTTGTTCCCAGCTTGGTGGCTCTTCGTAGTAGCCACACAAGATGTGTGTTTGGTGAGGTGGGGTGGGTTGGTGTGTGGGGGTTTTTTGTTTGTTTATTTTTGCCTGTGTGTTTGGTATTTTTTGGGAGACCATCTGGCAACCCTACTTGTTAGGGAGGCAAGGTCCAGTGAGGCAGGGTCAGGCAAGATGGCAGGGCAACCGAGTCAGCTGGAGCAGCAAGGCGGTCTAGGCAGCAAGGGGCCTGTTGTGCAGAGAGCTTCCTCTTCCAGTGGGGCCTGTGTATAGTCACTACCCAATGAGACTGCTGCCTGTCCATCCCATCAAGGGTCTGGCTGCAGTATGCCATTAGTATTACAGCTGTGGGTCAGGCAGAGGTGTTCAGTGTGTTGTCTAAAGATGGTGCCTGAGGATTGGTTGCAACGCTGAGGTCCTGATTGCAGCTTTCCATTACTGAGCAGTAGAACTTCACTTCTCTTGCAGAGATTTCTTTTTCCTCTTGAGGCAAATCAAATGTACCTTGTTGAGCTCATTTAATTTTCATAACTAAATGAATTAAACTTTCTTGTTGAATTGAATATTCTTCATAACTAAGTTAGGTAAAAAGTTTCTCTACCCCTAGCAAGGCTTGCACTAGATCAAAGTCTTTATTGGTTTAGAAAAAGAAATGGTAAGATACGTTAACTCACCATTTACACAAAACAAATAACTGCAATATGAAGTGAAACTGTTTTTAAAAGGAGAATCATTTACAATTATACAAATAATTATGAAGTCTCATATCATTTTGGTAGAATATATATGTCCATTACATTATCTAAAACAAGCTAATGAAAATTGTGCAAAAGCTAGATGGAGAGACCATATACAACTCTGTTATGTCTGCACTTGACAATTCTTTTGGTGTGCACCCCCAGCTTGGGTATAACTAGCAGTGAGGCACTATTTCAGTGAAGATACACCTGTATTCTGTGGATATGTACCCTACATTGCTCTCTACTGCATTGCTGTTTTATGTGGTGGTGTTTCTCACTGCTGGATTCTTTTTCTCTGTACAGACTCCAGCAGTAGGATTTCTGGCAGTGGGAAGACAGCAGGGAAAGGATCCAGGAGCGCTCTCCTAGAGATCAGCCACTGTACAAGTCAGGATAGAGGTCCTATGGGTGTGTGTTCTGGTCAGCTGAATAGGTCCCCCTAGTGTGTTTAGGAATGATTGGAGAAGCATCTATAAGGTATTTGCTTTCAGTATCTGCTGTATTGTTTTTAGCTCCTGCTACAGCCCCTGTGCCAGGGAAAAAGCCTGTCTCAGCATAAGTCTACACAGCAGCAGGGAGATTTGCCTACCAGTGCTGGGGATCATACACACACATGCATGCTGCTGTTTTTAATGCATTGGCTTAAGCAGAGCTAGAATAGCTGCAATTGCACAGTTGGCAGATCAGGTTAGTTGCCCAAATATGTACCCAGAGAGTTGGGTGGGATTGTATTCGAACAGCTAGTCCAAGCTGCTGCCCATATCTTTTCAGATGCACTGCTATTTTTTTAATGCACTAGCACATGCAGAGCCAGTGCACACATTTCTACTCAAGCTGGAATCACGCTTCCCAGCTACTGTTTAAATGTACTTTCTGATTTAGGGTTTGGGCTAGAAGAGCAATACACTACATCCATATCATCCTTTTCAATGGATTTTCTGTGAGTAGAGTTCTGAGTGTGACGGATTATGTGATTTTCCC